TGAACTTAGAATTGGGTCACAAAGCAAAAACAAAAACAAAAATCAAAACAAAAAAAGGAGTTTTCCCTTGTGAAAATTCTTCTGGAACTTCTGGAACTCTAATGAGGAAATGCTACCTTTTCTTGTAAAACTGTGGTTTTCTCACAAATTTCATTTTAATGCTATTCAACTCTACTAAATGTGGAACATTTTAATTCTGCATAATTCCAGTTTCTTAGAGACGACTCCAAAGTCCCAGTTCCTTGGGGACAGTTAGTGCTGAGACAGATCAGAGAACAGAGGAATCCCTGTGGGCAGGAGGAGAGGGAAGGTTGGAATGATTTTGTGAAGAAAGGGAAGTCTTGACTGGGATCTGAGTGGGTTGAATTTGGATGGTAAGACATAAACTCTAAATATGTTTTTTATTTTTTAAAAATCCAAGCAGAAAAAGCCCATGCATATATACAGTGAGAAATAAAGTTAGATACATTTTCTGATCCAAAGAAATTCCATGTTTACTCTGTGAACTTATACTACAGATGCACAAAATAATATGAATTACCATGCCTCTTTATGCAAGCACACAAATAATTTTTCATGTATGTTAACATTTTCTCAAAGTGTATTCCATGGAACACGTAAGATGTGAATAGATGATCTCTGAATAAAGGGCTTTTGTGATCAAATTATTTGGGACCCCTCTCCTCTGAGTAAAACAAGACTCAACAATTTCTTTTGAGCCTTCCATAATTCTCAACATCATTATGATGTGAATATGTATTGAGAATCTCTAAGAGGGTGATTTGTATAGGATTTTGCAAATTTATTTTATCATAAAACCTTTCGCTTGGGATATTTGAAGGGTTTAATAGTCCCTACAATGCACTGTGGATAAAACTGACTCATATGACTCATGTGACCTCCATAGAAAATAAGCTGGTATTATTATTCCCATTTTATAGATGAGAATGTGAGACTGATAAGTCCTTTAGAGCCCTGCTCAAGTCTCATCTCTTTTATGAAACTTCTCCAGGCCACCCAAGTCCTGGGTCCTTGCATTCATTTTAATAATGGTCATATTTATTCTTTCTACTTTGTCCATAAGAAATTGCATTGCTTTCTTCTTTCCCTGCTTATCCAGTCTTCTCACTGTGCTGAGGTGCTCTTTAAGAGCTAGTGTTGTGTATTGTGTACCTTGCAACGCTCATCGAGCCATATAATAGGTATTCAATATGCTTATATTGATGGATCAAGGGCTTCTTTACAAAAAGCAAAAACACTTAAATGTCACTCAAGATATGTTCCTACAATAGGCAGCGTTCTGTATTGCTTTTTCATCTCATTTTGACAAGAAATAGGTACTGAAGACTCTCCTGGAACAGACTGTATCAAATGGTGATTGTTACACACTCAAGTGGATTCCTTTCTTCCTTTATCCTGTAAATCAGTACAGATTCTCAGTTCATATTTGTCCCTGGAGTCTTACTCCATCCACTTGTATGAATCTGAGAGGCCCTCTTATGCTAGGATTCACTTCTATTCCAAGGGTTCATATTGCATATTGGATTGCTCCAGATCACTCTGACTTTTAAAAGTGATCCAGGTCACCAGTGTAGCAAATATTAAATACTGTCTGTGAAACTGTTGTGTTGGCTTCAGAGCACAGGAAAGGAAAATGAACAATGTGGGATGCTTGTTTTTTGTCAGGGGCTATAATAAATTCTTTGCATATGCTTTCTTATTTGATTCTTATAATAATTATATACAATAGATAGTATCATTCCATTTTATAGATAAACCAATGTAATCTCAAAAAGTTTAAATAACTTCTTAGGCTTTATGGTGAAATAGTTGAAATCATGAATTCTGCAGATAGAACATTGTATTGAAATCTCTTCCCTTTTATAAATTGTGTGATTTAATCTCTTTGGGTTTTAGTTTCCTTATCTGTAAATAGCATAATAATCCTATACACCTGTAGGACTGTTTTGGCGATTGAATGATTATATGTATACACACACACACACACACACACACACATACACTAAGAAATTATGTATATAATATATATATTTAAGAATAGTGCTTGATACATACTGAGTGGTAACTCTTATTACCATTAGGGTCACTATTCCAAGGTGGTACATTCAGTATATGGTAAAGCTTAGATTTGAAACCAGGTCTATAGGTCTCTACACTCTACAGCAAAATCAGTATCCATGTGGACAATGACAACAACAGGGCATCTATTAAGGAGGCATCAAGAGCAGCAGAAAGAGAGAGAACTTTATCATCAAACAGAGTTGTGTCCGAATGCCAACACAACAAGTTATTTACTGTACAACTTGTGTAAATTAGCTAACCTCTCCAAAACTCAATATTTTGGTTGTTCATATGATGATATTAGAACCTGTACCTCAAGGTTATGAATTTCAGAGTTAACGTATGTAAAATATTCCCACCAGAGTGGCTCTAACAAAATGAAAACCTTTATAATAAAAATAAATGATGCCCCTTAGGGTCACACTGACAAGGAAGTTGGGTAAATCAAGAGCATTTTCCACTAGATCAAACCTGCATCAGAGTCCCTTTAAAGTCATTCAAAAACAAAAGGCAAATTAAGACGAACGCCTCTATTAAGTCCATAGGAAGACTGTCAGTCACTCATTCTAGATCCCTACGCTCCTTTATTATCATTCAAGATATTCCAAGGACAGAGTTAGTACAGTGATGGGCCTTCTGTAGGGAGTAGCTATTTTCCTAACATTGTTTTTATCTACTTTCTTCTTCCCTGCTACTCTCCTCTCTGTGGTGGTTTCTTTTTCTTTCTTGAGCTTCACATTATTTTCCTGAATAACATTTGCCCATTAACTTACATTTCAACTATATTCACTGCAATAAACTATAAAAGCCTAAAGTTGAAAGGAAAGCTGGCGATGAGGCCGAAGTGAATGCTTCTAAGCAGCAAAGCTTATCTGTGTGTTGTGTTGACCACTGACCTGATAACCAGCTGGAAAGAAGATTGGCACTTGAGAAACATCATCCTTATCCTCATTTTCATCCTCATTCACCTTGCTGAGTGGTCTCACAAAAGAGAACATTTGAAGAATGGCTTATTACCTACACATTTTTTCATTTGAAAGATACAGGTCCATGATATGTCATTCAGAATTAAAAAGTGAAAAACCCAAACTGAAAGAAAATTGAAGGTTTTGCCTAACTCATCTGGCAACCAATCCAAGCCTAAACTGGTGTAAAGCTATTTATAGCTCTTACCCCACTTAGTGTTAGACACATTTGATGCTGTGGATGATTATGGAATGCTGCCTTAGACTCTACTAGGGTGTTATACATGTTATGCCTATTGAATCAATCACAGCTTTGTATATTTAACCACTGGTTTCTTTTCCCCTGATGCTGAGTAATCTTCTCCCTGCCCCATATTGAGCTGACCTATAAGACACTTTCTGCTCCTTCAGCCACTGGTGGTATATTGAAATAGCTGAAGCCTATCATCGTAAGTGGTTTTTTTTTTTCTCTCTCCTTTTTATGCCTTTCGTTTATTCCTTCAGTGATTCTTATTTTTTTCATTCCTCAGGTACCTAGGCTCTCTACTCATTGCTAGGAACACTCTACCCACTACCCTTTCAAAACCTGCTTAGAACAAAGGTATAAAATGTGGCACCAGCATCTCTATTAGGGATGAATTGTCTTTTAGGGGGAAAATGCATTCTCATGAAGAAGAAAGTGAGAAGCCCTGAAAATATGAGTATTAGTAAAAAAACTCAAGAAATAAAATGAGAAAGTTAAGCTGTGTTCTATGCAAAAATGAGATAAATTTGTGTTTTGGGTTTCAAGAGGGCCTACAGGGAAGAATGGGGAATGTATAGGACTGAGAAGAGGTAAGGAACCATTTGAGAAGTAGATTGTACTGGGAACACTTCCAGTGAAATGTTACAAAGACCTAAAGCAGATATACAAATGGACAACAAACACAGGAAACAATGCTTAATATCATTAGTCATTAGGGAAGTGCCAGTCAAAACCGAAACGAGATACTCCATTTCATACCCACCAGGATGACTGTAGTGAAAAAACTAACACGAACAATTGCTGGTGAGGATATGGAGACACTGGAACCTTCATACATTGTTAGTGGGAGTATAAAATGATTCAGCTGCTTTGGAGAACAGGCTAGCATTTCCTCAAAATGTTAACCAGAGTTATATGGCCCGGCATTTCTTTTCCAAGGCATATATCCAAAAGAACTGAAAACATATGTTCATGTTTAAACTTGTACATAGATATTCACAGCAGCATCATTCATAATAAAATTGCAAACTATCCAAATGTCTGCCATTTGATGTGGTATACCATACAATGAAACACTATTCAGCGTTAAAAAGGAATAAAATTGTGATTCATCCTGCAACATGGATGAGTCTTGAAAACATTATGCTAAGTGAAAGGTAACATAACAGGATTGTGGATCTGTATAATAAAAAATCCAAAGTTTTGTATATTTAACTACTGGTTTCTTTTTTCTTTCCACTAAGTAAATGTCACCCTGCCACCATATTGAGCTGACCTATAAGACATTTTCTGCTCCCTCAATCACACACAGCATATCGAAATAGCTGAAGCCCATCATCATACGTGTTAGCATAAAACATTATGCTAAGTGAAAGAGTGCAATGTTTCCAGGATTCATCCATGTTACTGGGTGAATTCCAATTTTATACATAAAAGGCCACATACAGTATGACTCCCCTTATATGAAATGTTCAGAACTGGCAAATCTATAGAAACAGAAAGTAGATTAGTGTTTGCCAGGGACCGTGGTGAGGGGAAATCAGATTGATAATAGGTAAAGAGTTTATTTTTGAGAAAATGAAAACATTCAATAGTGATGAGAGATGCACAACTTACAATCTACTAAAATCCACTAAATTATACACCTCAAAACTTTATGATATGTGAATTGTAGCTCAAAAAAGTCTTCTTTTACTTTTTTTTTTTAAAAAGGAGTAACAGTGCTGCAGGAATTTTTTTAAGATTTTGAATAAGTCTGTGGACTTGAATGAGTGCAGGTGTTACTTTTCTATATCTCAAGGAACAAAGAGAATCCAAGCGGACAATACTTGCAAGGCATTGTTCAGTAAGAATTACTTAGGTGGGGGCCCAGTTTGATCCACCAGTATTTATTATTTTTGGGGGCCATTGGTATATCTAAAGGATGAGAAGCATGGGTTGACGTTATCTATGATTTCTACCTTCTCATGTTCTGACTTTGGAGTCTAACCCCCTACATAAGACACACAGTATTATCCATATATGATATCTGTATAATGCCTTTGACTTTTAAAGCATTGTGACACTTATACTTTCAACAATTAATATTTCCAATATAAAGATGAAACAAGTGGGGCCAAATAAGATTTTAAGTGATGCAGATAGGAAGCAGCCGTGGAATTGGTTTCTGTTAAACTGTAGTCTTGTCCTCTTTAACATTTACCATGTACAACCATTTATTTAACTGACTTTCTTATCACAGTAATTACAGGCTGTGGCGGTTAATATTAGTAGGGGCCTCTTTTTATCAGTCTTCATTATCATACTGATAAGGCCACTGCTTATCCTCCTTACTTTAGCAGAGCTAGCCTGAATACAAGGTTTCATTCACTTGTGACTGCATGTAATTTCTAGCAAAGATGGCTCATGCAAGTATAACTCTTATAAAGTCTTCCTATTGGTTTGTATTTATATAAGATTTTAAATCTTATCAACTATACCAAGACAGGAAAGTTAGGCCATCAATATCCTACACTTTATAGACGTTTACTTTTTTTCTGAGTTTGTCTTGGTATCCAAGTAATTATCACTAAACAAATCTACAGCATCTTTAAATTAAGAAATAAAAAAACGACTCATGGGAGCTGATTGTTAGGATCTGTTTCCAACTCCACATTGTGACATCATGTCAGTAGCATCAAACGCCATAGAAATTGGTAGCTACTTATGCCATAGAAATTGGCAAATGCTACAAATCATGCTCTTCATTCCTTCCTCTGACCTGGTCATTAAACGTTACTCATCTGGAACTGACTTTCATTGGAAAATAAGAAAAAATTCAGACTAATGTCATTGGAAAGGGACTAATAATTATAACAAAGATTATATTGAATACATTCTTAATAAAGTTCTACCAATCACACAGCATAGCATTTGTCAGTTTCAAAGACGTGATACAATTTCTTACCAACAGAGAATATTATAAAGCAATGGATGTCTAAAAGGACAATCTTCCCAATAAATTACATGAGTTGCTATTTATAAAATGCCCACACATAGTAATTGTAGTAAATGTATGCACTAAATAAATAAAAAGTAATTATACTCACAAATGTTATTAACTACCTACTAACTAAAGAAACCAGCAGGTTAACCCTGAAAAGTAATTCAGTCATTATCGTTTGAAGGAATTCTTTCTTTTTGTATAGCATGGTAAACTTACTGAAGCATTACACATGCATTTTTTTAAAATTGATACAACAGTTTCCAGATATAAATGAGAAAGATATTTTGTTTGTAAACAGAGGAGAAATGTGTTTAAATAATTAACAAAATTACAAAATTTAAGTAATTTACACAAAATTTGAGTAATTTACATAAAGACAACAATTCAATATTGATCACAGTTCCACAAGAGTAATGGAGTATTAGTTTCTTCTTCTTTTTTCGAGACAGGGTATTGCTCTGTCACCCTCAGGCTGGAGGGCAGTGGCATAATCTCAGCTCACTGCAATTTCCACCTCCTTGGTTTAAGTCATTCTCCCATTTCAGTCTCCCAAGTAGCTGGGATTACAGGTGCCTGCCACCATGCCTGGCTAATATTTTTGTATTTTTAGAAGAGACAGGGTTTCTCCGTGTTGGCCAGGCTGGTCTCAAACTCCTGACCTCAGGTGATCCACCCACCTTGGCCTCCCAAAGGGCTGCGATTACAGGTACGAGCCACCATGCCTGGCCTGGAACATCAATTTCTTTGGGAAGCTAAAGACAATTTTAGTGAAGGAGTTGTTGAACGGGGCCATTTTATAGTATCGTGTTAGTCCTATATCTTCAAATTGTACCTTTAAGAGTAAAAAAATAGAAGGCTAATTTAGGATTCTTGAAAAAAAAAAGGAGCTTGTTACTTGCACTGCAGCCATTCCCAGGAAGTATCTAGTGGAAAATCCTTTTGACCATATCTAATGTTATTAAGACCTCCATGTGCTTCTTGAAACACAAACATAATACTGCCTAGGGCTGGCTTCAAGTCAGACTATATTTTATTCATATCAGTAGAAAAATAGATGTTCATATCTACAGTTATCTAACATTGTGTAGCCGCAATTTCAGAAGAAGTTGCCTAATTAGTTGCAATGGATAAAACCCATGCAAGCCCCTCAACCTCAGGGACCTCTCAGGGAAACCTCTATTAGCTCAGCACCTGCTAGAAAACAGATACAGCTCAAAGGTCAAAGATTTGCATTCTGCAGTGTTAGAGTCACCAAGGGGCTTACTCCAGCTAGCCCCTGTCCTGTTTTGGCCAGCCTTCCTCTCAGCAGGCAGGATAGTATTACGGAAGGAACACACTCATTGGAATCAGATAAGGTGGAATAAAATTTCAAGTCTGTCATCTATGAGCTGTGCAAACTTGGGCACATTACTTAACTCCTCAAAGTCTAGGTCCCTCATTTGTAAGACTGTGAATAATATGTTCCTTGAACGGCTGCTGTGAGAATTCAATTAATTTACCCAAAGTGTCAACCACAGTGGATAGGACACATTTTAATTCCCCTTCCTTTTATTCCTCCTCCCCCAGTCCCTATATCCATTCCCAGCATGAGACAGAATTCATGGGTAATCTCATTAAATTACATCTAGCACACATTTTCAGTATAATCACTTAGTGCAAATCAGTCTCCTCCCAGTGTAGTGAAGATTATCAATGGTGAGATTCCCTGGACAGTAAGAGGAAGGAGAACACAGATATACTGTCATCCCTGGTGCAGAACAACTCAGCATGTCACATGGGTCAAGAAGGAGCAAGATGGACTGAGCATCCTCTCATGAGCCAAAATCTCAGGAAATGAAGGATTTATTCACTGTGAAGGAAAACAGAGCAGGGAAGCTTAACTTCTCCTACCAGAAGGTGACACAGCCAGTGATTTTTTGACTCCATTCAACAACATCCACACATGGAAGGAGAGTGTTCCCTCGAAACCAGGCTACTAGGCATAATGCCCAAAGTATATGCCAGAGTAAAGAGATGCAAAAGAATCCTTGCCCATCTCAACTATAACATCTAGACGGCAGAGGCGTTCTCAAAGTGTGGGCCCCAGCCTGCACCTACTGAATCACATGGTTCCCAGAGATGTTTATGTACACTACAATGTAAGAACATATTCTAAGTGTTTATGTCTTTAAAATGGCAGTCTAGTGCAGTGGTTAAAGGCACAGAATCCGAGAGCTGGACCACGTCCATGAAATGCCTGGCTCATCATCTCAGTAGCTGTGCAGTCTTGGGCAAAGTTAACATCTCTATGCCTCAATCCCCTCATCTATAAAAATGTGCAGAATAATAGTCTCTATCTCACTGAATTATTATGAAGATTAAATGAGGTAATGTACCAGTAAACTAGTGAGTGCTTCGTAAGTGGTAGCTATTAATGGAGTCCTTGCCCGAGAACGAAGGACACCAGGTGCTGCCACTGATGGACAGTAGGCAGGTCGTTGAATGACCCCTTCAAGTCTCCAGTTCCTCATTTGTGAATCACCACAGTATAATTCCTCACTAATTATGGGGATTTTATTTTTAGGAGAGAAAGTCAGAGCAGAAAGTTATGAAGGGTAAAAAATATTTAGGAAATATATGTGATACAGGCCGGGTGCGGTGGCAACACCTGTAATCCCAGCACTTTGGGAGGCCGAGGCAGGCAGATCACCTGAGGTCAGGAGTTCAAGACCAGCTTGGCCAACATGGTGAAACCGAATCTCTACTAAAAATACAAAACCAAAAATTAGCTAAGTGTGGTGGTGGGCACCTGTAGTCCCAGCTACTTTGGGAGGCTGAGACAGGAGAATCCCTTGAACCTGGGAGGTGGAGGTTGCAGTGAGCTAAGATCACACTACTGCACTCCAGCCTGGGAAAAAGAGCAAAACTCCACCTCAAAAAAAAAAAAAAAAAAAAGAAAAGAAAAGAAAAGAAAAAAAGAAACATGTGACACAAAGACTGTAAACTATGTTTTTGCCGTGTATTGGTGGTGAAAGGGGTGCATCAGTTTGAACTGTTCTTTACCACTTCTGACACCAAATAATGTTTTTTTCCCACACCAACCAATTCTCCAACTCTCTGTACACCAACTGAGCATCCTATAATTCCTTCAGGTTCTGACACTATCTGAAGTTATCACAGACCCCACACATTAAGAGCTCAGTCCCCCAATGCTGCCTCCATTTTAGACACCAACAGCAAGTCTCAATCAGTGTTACTTCCGAACGACCAGCTGTAAAGTTGGGAGCTCTCACAACTTCTTCCTTAGGTTCAATAATTTGCTAGAAAAGCTCATGGAACACAGGAAAGCATCTTATTTCTTATTGCTGGTTTATTAGGAAGAATACAGCTCAGGAACAGCCAGATGAAAGTGTTACATAGAGCAAGGTAGGTGGGAAGCAGCCCAAAGCTTCCACGTACTTTCTGGGTGTGCCATGCTACTGGCACTTTGTTGTATTTAGCCACCCAGAAGCTCTCTGAACCTCGCTGTTTAGGGGTTTTATGGAGGTCCATGATGTAAACATGATTGGTTAAGTCACTGGGTGTTGGTAATTAACTTAATCTCCAGCCCTCTCCCCTCCCCAGAGGTTGAGGAGTGGGGCTGAAAGTCCCAACTCTGTAATTATGCCTTGGTCTTTCTGGTAACCAGCTCCTATCCTGAAGCTACCTAGGGGTCCTCTAACGTGGCCTCATTAGGACAAAAGATGCTCCTGTCATCCAGGAAATTCCAAGGGTTTTAGGAGCTCTGTGTTAGGAACCAGGAACACAGACCAAATATGTGTTTTTTATAATTTCATCCAGCAACTGCTAGCTGCAGTACAGCTAGGACTAGCCTGCTCATACAAAATGAAAAATGTTTTCATGCTTCGTAGGGCCACGGGCCGCTTATAAATTTATGTCCAGTGAGCAAAGCACATGCAATTCAGCCAGTTACGTGCAAGAAAAAACAGCCCATGACTACTCCACTCTCCTTTAATATAGTATATTTTACTCTTTTCCAGTCCGCTAACATTACTCAGAAAAAGCCCTTGGGGTTTTTCCTCTTCTCAAAATTTGTACTCTTTCTCGTTCAGCAACAATCCTAATTATGTAGTGCATCCACAACAGAGATGCTTTTAGTGCTTCAGAGATATCAGTGGTTGAAGTTATTTCCGGTGCTTTCATCCGCCACATAAATTGCTGAAACACTGCCTCCATGAGGAAATGCACTGTCGTTCCCATCATGGGGTAAGACATTTTGCTTGGTGTTAATTTGCCATTGGCATAATTTGTTTCAGAAAACACAAATGTATGAAATGGAAATGCATTTGTTTTGGTGGTAGATGGCTGTTTTACGTGGGGAAGTGGGTCTCATTGCTATACGCTTACTGATGCCCTGCTAGTGTCTTCAACAAAAAGCATCGAGCTTAGACACCACCTGTATTACAGGAAAATGAGAAAAATTGCTTCAAAATATTGCACTAATACTTTTCCCACAAATGCTAGAGAGAAGCATGATAAAAAGAGATTTTATTTGCTTTCCAGGGACGAAAGGAAAATCAGAAGATTGGGTGTTACTGCCCTGGAAGATATCTTGAGATGAGTCATCTCAAGGGAACACTTTCCTAGGGCAGGAACTAATTTTCAACAACTATAACTGCTTTCAAGGTTCCTTTGTGTACTGCTTCTTGATCCTAGTCACAGGTCAATGTATAGACAAAGTCCCCATTGGGCTAAAATGATTCATCTTTTCCAGCCCATAACTTTTGATTGGTTCTCCTTATCCTGTTACACCTCTCCATTTGCCATTCCATTGCCCATTAACCTACAGACCTGGCGGACATGGGGCTGGGAGATTTCATTCATTCGTTTATCGGATATTTATTGTTTGCCTCTATGTGACACAGATAGGGGAAAAGTAGATGAATTCACTTATGCTGAGTACAAAGATGAATATAATGCATGGTTAGATTTCTAATTTTCATTTGTCATTCTACTGCATTCTGAGGTATCTCTATGAAGCATATAATATCTAGTAAAATCTAGCCATTAGTCTAAAGAACTGCCCCAGGGCCCCTTTATGTCTAACTCTATTGATGAAATTAGGGAAGCAAGCCTGTGCTGACATTGTTGATATGTGGGATTCTCTACTTCCTTTACCTTTTTTCTCTTCTTCTTCTTGAGACAGAGTCTCACTTTGTTGCTTAGGCCGGAAGTACAATGGTATGATGTAAGCTCACTGCAATGTCCACGTCCTGGGTTGAAGCTATTCTTATGCCTCGCCCTCCTGAGTACCTGGGATTACCAGCGTATGCCACCATACCTGGTTTTTATATTTTTAGTAGAGACAGGGTGTCACCATATTGGCCAGGCTTGCCTGTAACTCCCAATCTCAGGTGAACCGCCCACATGAGCCTCCCAAAGTACTGAAATTACTTACAGGTGGGAGCCACTGTGCTTGGCCTACTTCCTTTACTTTTGATGTGTAAAGGTTGTCAACAATTCAGTTTCAGCTGCCTTTTGCAAGAGGCTTTCTCTCACCCCTCATAGTGTATCTGAACTCTGAATCTTCCCCACTAAACCTGCTCCCACCACAGCCTTCTTCATCTCCACTGATGGCCAGTCCATTTTTCCTCTCATTTGAGCCAAAAACCTTTAAGTGGTTTTTAACTCTTATTTTTCTCTTATGCCTAATTTCCAATCTTTCAGGAAATCCTGCTGCCTCTACCTTCCAAATGAATCTAGAATCTGATCACTGCTCCCCACCTCTCTGATACTTCCCTGGCCCAAATAACCTTCTTATATCCAGATGATGACCGCAGCTTCCTATAAAGTCTTCCTCCTTCTACTTTTGCCTCCCTATAATCTATTCTCAATATGGCAATCAGAGAAATCTGTTTCAAATGTAAAGTCAGATCACACCCCTTCTCTTCCCAAATGCCTGTAACGAATCACCACCATAGCACTGAGAGTCAAAGTCGCAGTTCTCACAAAGACTGAGTTCTGGTTCTGTTTCCAGTCTCATGTCCAACCACTCACTCCATTCTATCAGACCAGTGGCCTCTTTGCTGGCCCAGAACATGCTTAGGTAACCTAAGAGCATTTTCACTTGCATTGGCTGTTCCTCTGCTCATTTGCCTAGAATGCTCTTTTCCCTGCTACCGTCATGGCAAATTCCTTCTTTTCCAATGAAGTCTTTGTTAAAAGTCACCTTCTGCTCGAGGTCTACCCTGACCACCTGTCTCAAATTGCAGCCTGCCTCCTATTTTCATCCATGCCAGCACATCTAATCCTCTTTACCTGCTCTATTTTTTTCTCTCTCCATGGAGCTAATCACTTTCTCATATGTGATGTAATTTATTTGTACGCCTTTTGTTTAATATCTGATGCCCCATGGTTTGTACCATGTTGCTAGTTCTTTCAATGAGTTGTGAGCAGAAATGAAATGTGTTACTCCCAGGTCAGAGCATCTAATTTCTGATGCGAGATACCCTAGGGCTCTTTTCTCTGAGGATCAGCAATGTTTGTGGATGGCGACTTTGGTCCTTGAGTGACTCCAGTGAGCAGGGGCCTCTCATTTTCTTACTTATCTAATTGTGATAGACATAAAGCGTGAGCAAGAAGTAAGACTTTGTTGTATGAAGCTGCTGGGAGGTTGTTCGATAGCCCAGCATAACCTGACCTACTTTGACTGCCATATGGAAGATGGAGAATTGCTTCCCCAGTGTCATGCAGTGGGAAGCCCAGATATACCAACACACATATTTCTGAAAATGTGTTGTAAACACAATGGTATGAAAGTCAATACATCTGCATGTTTTAAACTGAAGCACATTCCCAAAGAACTAAATCATTTTATAAAACCCTACCTGTGAACTATGCAGATGTCACCTCCTCTGGAATTAGGCAACCAGCCAACGGGTGAAGACTTTGATAGGCTCTAGGCTCAGGTAGAAGTGACTGTCAGCAGAATCATCAGTTATCCCCAGAGGATGATTAAATCTATTCAGGCCTTTTCCTTTTTCACTGTATGGAAAACCACTCCAAGCTAATTCTTAGTGAATCTCCCTAACAAGTAGCCTTCAGGACTGGACTGGTTAGCCCAATGGTTCTCAAAATGTAGGCATATCAGAATTACCTGCAGGGTTTGTTAAAACACAAGCTTCTGGGCCTCACACCCAGTAGGTATGGAGTAGGCCTGGGGATTTGTATTTCTTACATGTTCCCAGATCGTTCTGATGTGATTGGTCTAGAGATCACACTTTGAGAATCACTGGATTTAACAACAAATAGGCTGAGTATCAACCCCTTCAAAAAAGAAAAAAAAAAAAAGGTATTCGTATTAGATAACTTCTAAAAGCATCTGATATTTCCAAAAGAATATCAAATTAGTCATCATGGATAAAGAAATTCCTTACATCTCTTTCATGGTTTGGGTTAGGATGATCACACAGCTCCATTTGCCCAGGACATTCCTGGTTTATGCCTGTTGTCCTGGCAGATGTCAATAGCACTACTTTTGCTCACAAGTTTCACGTCTGGATGACACATTATATGGCTATTCCATTTAGACCTATTTACAGTTTTTACTCACATGTGCTAAATGATTACATTATAGTTTCAGGTCTTAGTGCCTGAAAGGTCTTAATCCCACCTAGAATGCAGCTTTGGGAGGAGAGGATATAGGAATGTGGACAGCGAGGAGCAGTAGCCCTAGTTCCTGATCTCAGGACATCCGTTGGTTTTCATGGAGGTTGGAGAAGGGATGGAAATGAGAGGTGTAGGTGTTGAGCTTGGACTCTCCCGCTTTCCCCTAACTCTGTAAGATTTAGGGATCAGCCTTACGCAATTGATACAACACACAATCCAGTATAAGAAAGGCTCTCAGGATACTGATGTGTAACGTTGGAAAATACCGGTCATAAGAAAACTGAAGATCTCAAGTTGGGAACCTCTCATAGTGGGAACAGAACAAGAGCTAATCTTGATAATGAGCCGCTGCCATTTTTTTCTCTAAGCTGTCTCTGAAGCCTTACAGAGGCCACATACATGCTTCTGCCAACTTTGCTGTACTCTTTTCTCAGGTCCATGCTGCTAGTTTGGAATATATAATGGTTAAAGAGGGTAAGTACATAGGGGTTCATTTATTCCCCACACGAGGAAGCCCTACTGGGGACTTCTGAGTCAGGGGAAGCATCCCTTGATGTAAGGTAGAGAGCATGCGCATGCTGGACCTGCATGGTCCTTCCATCCCCTTTAAACACCATGTAATTACTACTCCCAGGCCTCCCTTCTAGAGTTTTTCAATACCCTAATAAAGGTAATGGGAGAAGCATTTTCTCAGCTGGGCTGTCATATACAACCTGCTTCTTAGTAACTGTTGGTGTCCTTTCTTTAAACAATTTATTTGAGTTGTCTACCTAAAAAATACATACAGTTGGTTCCATCTTTAGTATAGTAGAAATGATAAAGAGTATGAAAGATCCATGCCTAATTGGCATAGCACTTCAAGTATCCAAGTTATTGGATGACTTTACCCCAATCTTGTCGTGAATAATCCAGAGTTTGAAAATTTGCTATATTGGGGCCCCTGGATTCAGGTTAAGAAAGCTTAGAGGAGGCAGAGGGGAACAGGAAGAGGGGAGCCAGCTGTATACATAAAAGGAAAACAGGCAGAAGATATCTGCCACCCCCAAATTGAAAGAAATAGCAAAATTTACTAGGATTTATTAGGTACTTGCCATACATAAATACTGTGCTCCTTGGCACAAGTAAGTTAAATTGACAATCCTTGCCTTGTGGGAGTTTTATTCTAACATGAGTGACCTAAATTCAACCAACAGTCTTCACAATTGCAGCCACCCACTACCCACACAAACTGTCACAGTTTGCTCAAGGCTGACTTAATAAAATATCAAAGACTGGGTGGCTTAAACAACAGAAATTTATTTTCTCACGGTTCTGGAGGCTGAAAAGTCTAAGATCAAAATTGTGGTAGGGTTTTGCTTCTCATGGGGGATTTTCTCTTTTGGCTCGCAGATGGCCACCTTCTCACTGTGCCCTCACTTGGTGGGGAGGGGGAGGAAGGTAAAGTTCTATTGGATTAGGGCCATAGGCTTATTATCTCATTAGCCTTAATGGTCTCTTAAAAACCCTATGTCCAGCTTATCACATTGGGGTTTAGTTCAACACATGGATTTTGTTAGGACACAATTCAGTATACACACACACACAAACACACGTTAAACTGAGCCAAGAGCTAATGCTGTGGTGGGAGCCCTGGTTATGAACTATTTACACTGAGGATAACCCATCTGAGTCAGGCGTTGCGGTGCCAACCGTATGCTACCAGGAGGAGAGGTCAGCATCACCTCTTTTCATTTAGCTAGAAAAGGCTTTCTGGAGGAACTGGGATTTCCAGAGATCTTGGAGGGCAAAAATAAAGATTTGAGTGATAGCGGATAGGATGAGAAGAGCAGAGGGAGCAGCAGCACAATCATGGTCAGAAAGAAGAGAGAGAGGAGAGGGAGACAAAGGAAGCCAGCTGAAAGAGTTTTGTTTTCCTTTTGTTTTTCTAAGATGGTTTCTGAAGTGGTTTTCCTCTGCCTCCCTGACTTGGGGAGCTAACCAGTGTTGGCTGTGTACAGGTGTTCATTTTCCCTACTGCTCCCGCTCACTTCTGGAAGCTGCTCCCTGGGGTTCTGAGGCATCTGCTCCTTGTTCCTATTTTGCTCAAGTCTCTACCCAATCTGACTGATTCACTAGATCTTCTCTACTACTCCTGTTTCCATCTCCTTTACCTGCCACCCCTAATTTATTTGTTCGGTAGCACCTTGGCCCTGCCAACACATACTGCGTTTAACTACTTTACCTTGAACTTCTCTCTGAAAATGGGACAGAGGTGATCGACTGAAACATTCTTTAAATGTGGGAACCCAGTATTTGGGTGCTTTGTGCTATTTTCACCTCAACTTCTAAGCTACATGTTGTTTTGCCCTAGAGACAGACATACTGCTATCGCCTCTTCCCCCCACCTTTCCTTCCTCTCCTATGTTTTAGGACCTGAGAAATGTATTTTATTTATTTTAAGGAATTGAAAGCAATTCCAGTACATATGCACACATGCATGTGAGTATGCATACACACTCACACAAACACACAAGAACGTGTTTTCTTGGATGACGGGAAGCCTGAGTCACATTAAAGTGATTGATTTCTAAATTACTATGAGCTCTGGTTATTTTACAGCCTGTGTCATTCTTCATTCCCCCATCCCCACAGACCTGCTCACTTCTACTGAGAAAGGTGACAATGTGATTTGGTCCAGAGCTTCAGATGTGTTGATTTTAGAGCCATAATATATGAAAAGTGTTCTGTTTATTTATTCTGCATTT